ACTGGAAAAAAATGAGTGGTGGCCTGTTATTTTTAATATGCAAGTATGAAAATGGTAGGGGATGATGTGGGGACCGTTTGTCATTGCTCTTCTTCTAAAAATAAATCCTTTAGCTTTTTTTGTGTCAGAAGCAGATTAGCCTTTGCCACCATTGGGATATCTGTACTGATCTCCCTGTGCCCCCTGGAGTGGGAAGAGGCCATGGCATGAAGCTACACGTCTGGAATAAAAGAACAGATGAGAGGAGAAAGAAGATGCGTGTCTTTTAACTGATAATAGCACAATTAATAGCTCCTCCAAATCACTCCAATGAGCAATTTAAGCACCTTAGTTGGAGATTAACATTTCCTATAATTTTCTCAAATAGTTCCTTTATTTACAATGTATTAATGAGAAAAATTTTTCCAGAAATGAGATTCCTTTGTAGTTTTATTAAGAGCTCTAAACTGCATTTGATACTAAATGTAACTATGTCTATTTATTGATTGTAAATACCATTGTAGATAATAATACATATAATAATTATTCCACAGAAGGTTACAAAAATGTCAAGCTAAAAAGATGCTTACTCATTGAAATAAAAAATATAAAAGTAAGTAGCTACCAGAATTTGTGGCTCAGTTTCTCCTGGAATGTTTATTTTTGCTAAAACCACCACCACCACCACCACACAGTTTGCAATATTAAAAAAAAAATTATGCCACACAATCTTTTTTCAATACTGAATTATGCCAGAATAAACAAAACATGGACTAAATTCTAATAATTCAAACCATCCTCAGTAATTCACATATCGTACTAGTTTATCTTCACTCCTCCTTGGTAACCTCCCTGAAAACCACTCCCCGTTCCTACCAGCCTGGGTGAAACCACCGAGTTCTTTGAAGGGAGCAACGTCGACAGCCTTCACGTTGGCCAATTTTAAGTCCATCCTCCAGAGCAGTCAGAGGAATCTTGTAAACACGGAATCAGATCCCACCACTCCTCTGCACAGAACGCTCCCAGGCTCTGGATAGATGGCACTCAGAGTGGGACCCATGTGGGTCATGGCCACAAGCCCCACCATGCCTACCTCTACTCCTCCCTCTGCCTCAGCCTCCCAGCCTTCCCTCTGCTCCCTGGGAAGTGAGGCTCATTCTCCTTCACCCTCTCTTTGCCAGGATCTTTGCTTGACTCATTCTTCTTCCTCACCCACATCTCTGTGTCACTCCTCAGAGCACCTTCTGTCCACCACCCCAGTCTGTTAGGCACCCTCACCCTTGGCCCCATCACCATCTACCCCCCCCCATGCTTACTAGTATTTGCCATTGCATGGCTACCATCTATCTTCCCCGCTAGACTATGCCCAGTGCCAACAGGGATATTGTCATGTGGTTCGCCACTGTGTCCCTGGGTCCAGAAGTGACTGGGGGGTGAGGGAAGGGCTCAAGATATATTGAATAAATGCATGGTGATTTTTCTCTCTTCTCTGCATGCACAGAAAACTGGCCATGCTCACAGGAACCCAAAGTTGCTTCATACTCCTCTCTAGTTGTTGCAAATGGATAGACTTAGCAAAGTACTTTCTACACACTTTACATCCAGGGAGTGCCAGAGCCTAACATATTTTAACAACATAAATGATGCTTAAAACTTGCTAATTTGGCTCAACTTTCAATCTTTTGCTGTTAGAAAAGGAACAAAGTTGTTTGTACCATCACAACACAGCTATTATTTTAACATAAACACTGTCTCCCACATAAAATAAAACTTAAAAGTAGACCAATGAGAAAAGAGGAAAGAAAACATGTCAAGAACCATATCTTCCTATGCCAAACTTAAACATTTGTTTTAAACAGTAATTTCAACTAACTTGGTTCCAGGTAGTTTTACACTGGCTCTTTGTGGACTCCAGAATGAAGATAAAATTCAATATTGATTTTTAAAATCAATTGTTTACATTATCATTAACTCACTACCACCATTAGCAAATAACCAATAAATTCAAACAAAACACACTGTAATAGGGTTTCTGCTGTTCTCAAAAGTCTAAACAAGAAGTCATGGTTTCATGTACCACAAAAGAAGTTCCAAAGTGTCTGCATTTATTCACTGAATAAATAACACCAGAGAGCGAGGATAAGGCAATGTGCTAGGCACTGTGATTTGCATATTTTAGGCCCTATGCAAAATGTTCCTGTTGTAGTCATTTAAAAACTATAGTAATGGTCATATTGTAACAAATATTTGGCTAGGCTAGTAACCAAGCCAATTATGTCTTTTTTAAAGTGCAACAATTTAAAGCAAAGGTGACCTTGCCTGACAATTATGGAAATTAAAATGCTCCGGGAAGTTTGGCAATTTCTTCTGAGCATGGAAAGGCTTTCAAAAAACTAAGTTGCACCATATAAGCACCTCCAAATGACATATCTACCATCTCTGTTCTGCTGTTCAAGTTTCCTGCTGTCAATAAAAACTATTTAACCATGTTATTATTCCAGGGTCATGTTATTTCTTTTTCCTCTTTGATAGTATTAGTTCTTTGAAAGTTCTTAATTCATATAAAAAGGTTTATGATTGGGGGCGCCTGGGTGGCTCAGTTGGTTAAGCAACTGCCTTCGGCTCAGGTCATGATCCTGGAGTCCCGGGATCGAGTCCCATATCGGGCTCCTTGCTCAGCAGGGGGTCTGCTTCTCCCTCTGATCCTCCCCCCTCTCATGCTCTCTCTCTCTGTCTCATTCTCTCTCTCAAATAAATAAATAAAAAATCTTAAAAAAAAAAAAAAAAGGTTTATGATTGGAACATGGATTAATCTACCCTTCTATGCATTTACCAATATTAGCAAACATGCTAATGGGACAGACTGTATGGACCTCCCGTATTATCACAACCCAACAAAACCAAGTAAGCGTAATGAAAAAAATAATCATTACAGGGCCTTTTGTTTTTTTGGTCTAAGGATCAATCTAACCCAGATCGTTTGCCTGTGTTGGTAATCTGATATGAAAAAAATAATCGTTACAGGCCCTTTTGTTTTTTTGGTCTAAGGACCAATCTAACCCAGATCGTTTGCCTGTGTTGGTAATCTGATGTCCTGCAACAGAATCAGTCTGTAGAAGCCAGGTTCCATGTATATCACAGAACTGCCACAAATGCAAGCAATGATGCTCTTTTTTGTTGTCCTTAAAATAACCTGGTTTTGCGGAAAATAACCAGCAGAGAAGGGCTTGCAGGACATCACTGCGGAGAGAGCCTATAGGACCAGGACAGGGCACACAGGCCTTGTTCTGTGGCAGCAAGTTAAACACATCTTTCACTGAAAGCACATTTTAGGAAATAAGCACCAACTGGGAGTGAAGTTTGTAGGGTTTGAAGCATTAACAAAAATCAGTACACTGAAAACTGCTATGTCTTTACCGTAACACAGTCCAAAAGTAAGTACTTCTGGAGTCCTTTATGTGGCCTCTGCTCGAACTCTAAGAACACACACTACCATGCCACTCTTTTATGCCATAGCTTGTTTGAATCTGCTTCTGACACTTGAGCAGTTGTCCTCTAAATTATAAGGTTATAATTTATATTGGGGGTTAGCAGGGGGCACAAAATAAAACCCAAAGCAAGTATCCAATGCCTACATGTAGTTACCAACACTTAAATATTCTGACTCCCATAATGAAAATGCCACCCTCGTCATTTTCAAGTAGCTTTCAGTGCTGAAGAATTTTGAATAGGAAAAAGGATCTACACAAACACAAAACAAATACATCATTTCTTCTTGTCACTCTTCTTCCTTCAGACTTGGGGAAGGACAGTGTTTCCGTTTGGGTTAGCGCCTGTCCTAGCAGGTTTTACCAGATTGAAAGACATGCAGCTGTGGTAGGCCAATGCCAGTTCCGGCTGCATTATTAATCTTTCATGCGATTTCATCCCATCCTGAGAACGCGAAGTGATCTTCAACGTTAAAAAACCAACTTTATTTTTTTAAAAGATTTTATTTTTTAAAAATTTATTTGAGACAGAGAGTGAGAGAGAGGAAGCGCGAGAGGGGTAAGGGTCAGAAGGAGAAGCAGACTCCCCACTGAGCAGGGAGCCCGATGCGGTACTCAATCCCGGGACTCCCGGATCATGACCTGAGCCAAAGGCAGATGCTTAACACTCCGGGATCATGACCTGAGCCGAAGGCAGACGCTTAACCGACTGAGCCACCCAGGCGCCCTGAAGAACCAACTTTAAACGGCCATCCCATTAGCTCTTTTATAAGGTGAAATTTAATAGGATTCGGGTTTAGCTCATTTGTCAGTTCTCTATTGACAGCTAGAAAATCCACACTGACTTAGCAACAAAGTAAACGATACAGGCCAGGTCTTCAAGATTTCAAGTACTTGTGCAAAAGACCACGAGCTCGCTCTAAGCCTACATGTGCATGTTGGCACAAACTGGTGTTTCTTGTCTGGAGACGATCCATCAACACCCAAGCCACCAAATCAATGATAAAAGCATACTTCGTGTGCAGAGATGTCTGAATGAAAAGTCTTTGAAAATGTCAAAGGACATGAAGCCAAGAGCGACCTCAATTCAGCACTTGTTAAACTGAAGGAAAGGAGGGGTTTGATGAAGCCGAGGAGGGCCATGGGTTCCTCATAATCCGAGGAAGGCTCGGGTTTGCAGTTCCACAAAATGACCCACTTATTGTACCTAAAGGCCAAAGATTGCACCGTGAGCTTTCCAGAAGATTGTTTAGTCAGCAAACAAGTCTGATCTGCATTTTTTTTAAAAGGCACCCCAAAAAGCAACAAAGCAAAGTCAAGGTAAGTGTGTCACCTGCCCCAAGGCAAGTAACCAAGGTTTAGCTGAAGCTCCCGGCCCTGGAAGGCCAGCACAGAGGGTGCTGCGGGCGCTGGGAGGCTGACCCCCGCCTCCTTCCACCTGGCTCAAGGCCGGGAGGGGCCGGCCCAGGGCTGGCACCGAGGTGGGCTTCGCGGGGCCAGGCTGCGTCCCCCCACCACCCCCGGCCCACTTACTGTTGCTGGACTTGAGGTCCCGGTGCAGGATGGACACGACCGCCTCCTCGTGCAGGTAGAGCATGCCCCGCGCGATCTGCACCGCCCAGTTGACCAGCACGTGCGGGGGGATGCGGCGCGCGCGGCGCGGCCCGGGCGCGCGCGGGTCCGGGGCGGCGTTGGCTGCGGCCAGAGCGCGGTTGAGTGCTCCACCGCGGGCGAACTCCAGCACCAGGCAGAGGTGCGGCTGCTGCAGGCACACGCCGCGCAGCTCGATGATGTTGGGGTGCCGCAGCATGGCGAAGAGCCTCGCCTCCCGCCGCACGCTCTCGGCCGCCGTCGCCGCGTCCTGCTCCGGGTCCCGGCGCGCCGCCTTCACCGCCACCTCCCGGCCCTGCCAGGTGGCGCGGTACACCTGCCCGAAGCCGCCGGCGCCGATGAGCTCCTTGAGCTCCAGCCGCTCGAAGTCGACGTG